TGAAGCAAAACTCCCGCGCGATCAGCACGCCGAAATCCCGACAGCAGAACAAGAAAGAAGCAACGTCAACCATTATTAATCGCGCCTTCGTCGGCGCGCCAGCCACTCGATCGACCATCCCGGGACTTGCCCAGCCCTGGCCCCAACCATCCGAAAAGAAGCGACGTAAAAAGAAGAGCAAGCAAGAACACCGATGCAAGTTTCCCGTTGGATCTCATCTCCCGCAATTGGCCCAACCTTCCCATCTTAGGACCCCTCATTGTCATCGCGTAGAAAGTCGCACGACACAGAAAGTGGTTTGTCACAACGCGCCAACTCACGACTACCCACTCCGCTCCCGCGATCCCCTCCCTCTCACTGGTGGACCTCTTTCTCCACACACCATCCCATCTCTCTCCGCACATCCTTCTCCACCTCCCCCCATGTCTAACCCCATCCATCCACCGCACATGGATGCGAGCACATCTGAGGAGATCATTGCGGCGCCAACCACCGCTCAGGCGCTCACACAATTAACAGTTCTCGGTCACACCTCTATGGACCTTGAGACTGTCCTCGCGGCCCTCCTCGCACCTATACAAGCGCAACTCAATGCGTTCACCCTTCACGTTCATTGCCTCAAGGGTTCTCCTCATCGCTCTGCTTACCGCTCCCAAACCCCATCCTCTACCGGTTCCCAGTCCGGTTCCCCACGACTCCAGACATGGAGACGTTGTGGTTCCTCCTTTGCGAGGCCCAACACTCTCCCTCCATAGTGGTGAGTGTTGTTGCCGCTCAAACCATATCGTCTGTTGCGGCACAACCATCGGCCCCTGCCACCCCTGCTGCTTCGGCCACTGCCGTAGGTGCTGTCACCCAGATACCAATATCTGGTCAGGCAGGTTCATCTACATCGCGGTGTTGCTTACCAGCCTCCCGCATCAGCTACGACACTACGGCTCAGAGCCCTCCCTCCTCCCCTTGTCCCCTCACTCCCACCTCAGAATACCCTCGCTGACTCCTCCACTTCCGAACCCGCGCACCGAGCGACTGGCTACCTTACAGGCCATGGCGCAGCTCCAAGCGAAGATACTAGTCCTGAGACAGCCTCACCCCTCACAAGTTGTTTACCCTTCATCTTCCTTGACTGCCCCTTCCACTTCGGTCTTGCAGGCTTGTTTCCCTCAACTTGCTCCTCCACCTCTACCCTCCTATCTCGCCATCACGTCACAGCTGCCTGCGGCCGTTGCCTCCACCTCAGCTGGACCTTCCACCAGCATCCGCGGCCCACAGCCTCCCCTCACTTCAACCCCTGAACCAGCCCCGACATTTGCCGCCGTAGTGCAGGCCCATCAGTCTCTCTCCCCTCACCGTCAGCATAGTGGTCCCCCCCTTGTGCGCTTGTCGGATATACCCGACTACGATGGCACACTTCGCACATCGCATTGGTTGCAGGCCGCCACGCATGCACTAACACTAACAAACACTAGTGAGGAGTTGTGGTGCTCTTTGCTCGCAACTAAATTGCAAGGCAGTGCTTTCACCGCATGGAAGAGCTACCATACCCATCGTACTCGCACAGGTGAGGGTCCCACTTTCGCGGACTTCGCCGCCTTCCTTCATGACCTCTATGACACTCTGCACGACGCGACCGATGCCTTAGATAGGGCCACCCATACGCGATGGCCGCACCGACAGACCTCGACCATCACATCCGGGTTTTTCAAAACGCCCACCTCATTTGCGATGAGACACTCCTACCTGAGGTTCTTGTAACCAACAGGTTCCTCGTCACTCTCGGCAGTCTTTCGACGACTACCTCATAGAGCTTTACATGCGGGGCCGACGCAGCAACATGTGCACCCCCTTCTGAAAAAATGGCTGGGAAGTGTACTGGTGGCTTTAAGTTCTTTTACAAACACGTCATTTCTGAGGCCAAGTCCCACTCGCAGCGTCGAGTTTCCTCAACACCCCAGTCTGGACGCGTTTGTTGAGAGGTGTGGTAGAGGAAACTCCATGCGATTATCCCATACCTTTTCTCTGCTTTTTTTTGGGTAGGGGTTGCTCATAGAACCCACCCCTTCCTACCTCAGCATTTCTTCCTTAGTGTAATCCCTGCTTCCCTGTCTATGGGAGCACTGCTACCCAACCTCAGTTATACCGGACAGCAGTTGCAGCCACTAGCGCTAGGCCAGGGCAAGCCCATGCTGCCCCTCCCAGCAGCCACTAGGGCTAGGCCAGGGCAAGCACATGATGCCCCTCCCAGCCCCAGTTGAAGCACTATCAAACGAGCCAACATCATACGGGCACTTTGGTCACCAAGCATAGTCGTCCCATACGATCCTATGAGCACCAACCCAGGTCAGTCAGACAGTGAACATTCAGCGGAGTAACCATAGGCAGTGTCTACTGGCCCTGCCCTGACCAAGGTCTTACCTAACCTTTTCTGTGGAACGGACCTGCCAGATGAGCATTTTTTTCGCCTATTCGAAACGTGGGTTGTGACCCACGCGCCCTTGCCCCATTTTTTCTTTAACCAAACACTCAAGGCACCTTGCCTCTCAGTTACTTCTACTTTCCTGTCCTTTCATTTTTATACTCTGCTCTATTCTCAGCTTGTTTCTCTTTCTCTTCAACTTCTTTATGGATAGATGTTGATTGCTGTGTGGTCACTTGAGCCTTTGTGCTCGTCTTTCGTAGGTTGCATGTCAACTGACCTATAATGATGAATGCATGATCAGTGAAACAGCATCGACACAGACCGGTACATCAAAGCGCAGCGAATTCAGGTTAGCGAATACAACAGTCTTGAGAAATATAGATGAAATTCAAAGCGGTTTCAAAGCACCAGTACGGTGGATCCAAATTACCAAAGCCAATTCTTTGCACCCGAACAAACCGAACCCATAACCGCCGAGCCTGTACATCAGAAGTTCGCCCCCCTTTAAAATCACTAGTACTCCCAAGCCTCTTTGGGGCCCCCACACCACACCGCTCTTGAGACGAAAAAAGTATGAGTGCATGTTCCTGCAAAGAGTGGCAAAATGCATCTGTTACAACAATAGTAGCGGATGCATCTTGCCACTTTCTGTGGAAGATGCGCTAGTACTTTTTTCTGTTTCTACAGTGGTGTGACTATGTCCTTTTTCGTCATGCTGCTGTCTGCCGCCCGTCATCCTTTTTGTCAAGCGGGCGTGGTCACAAAATGGATTTGTTCGCCAACTGGCCTAGCCCAGTTGGCAACCCCCCGAACTGTTGAAATATAGACCCGAGTTCGAAGTCCGCTGGAAGTAGATGAGTGAAATATTACAATAATTCTGAATTACCTAGGTCCGGTCAGTTCACTGATGATATCTCAAGGCCATCGCCCTTTTTTGAAGAAAAAAAAACAAAACAAAACAAATGGATTTGTTTTGGAATTGGCTGGCATCACCAGGCTTTCGGATTCGATGGGTCGGGCAAGTGAAAGACGCAGTGTGCTTGCACGTAGGAACAAACTACTAGCATGCAAAGGTCCTTTGTGGTTTTATACCTATATTTGTGGACCTCCTTTGGTCCTCCTTGTCTGGTCCGACGCCATTGGTAGAGGAAGCCCCCTGTTTTCTTAAACCCTTCATAAGCCCTACTAAGGTTTCCCACTACCACCCGGTGCCTGCTCTTATCAGCACCCATAGCTGCTCTTATCACCCTGTTTTCTTAAACCCTTCATAAGCCCTACTAAGGTTTCCAACTACCACCTTTTTCAGCCTTCTCTTGCATCTCTCCTGACCAGGGACCGAGTCCCACTTACGCGTTGGGCTAGGTTCTCCTTGATAAGTTGATATTTCAACCACCAGCCTCACAGAGTGACATCCACGATCGCCTAATTGATCCCTCGAAAGATCGTGTGGCTGATAAATTGTTACAGTTGGAAAATTGTCAGCCCTATTCAGGTTCGGTTAAAAATCGTAAAATAAAAATGCTAAGATAGCGCAGACAGGGAGGGGCAGTGGGCCTAGCCTCGCCGTTGAGCTATCTAACTTGTAGAGAAATAGTCAGCTAGCTCAACGGTGCTTGTGCCATCATTACCTCCTCCCTGAGAGGACATTCTGACAGCCCTGGGAGGACATTGACAGAGAGTCTTCATGCTGTCTTTGGCCATGCAGCCCCAAATTCGTTTCCTCTATTCGGGCTGTGAATGCACCGAGCCAGGCGTGCTGTCCATGTTCGTTTCACATTCTAGCGAGGGCCATGTCTCCGACTTTGCCTTGTATGAGGGTTTCACGGAGCGTTGCTTTTTTCTCCATTTTACCTTGTCAAAAATACGGACAACGGCTTTCATTAGCATTTGGTTCTTCGTTTACTTTTTCGGAAAATAGGCAAAAAAGCTTTCAGCAGCATTTTTCACAAACAGCCTTCGTCAACTTACAGAACGTTCCGCTACTGACCCTGAAGATCAATGGCAAACAATAGCACTTTGTGTCCAGCATGTCTTGCTGCGTGCCTGGAGAGGCGTTTGCAACATTGATTTTGTTTGGTCTTGTCGCTTCGGTGAACCACTTGAGCCCCAATCCATTTTCGGCGCGATGAAGCTAGACCAGTGAGCTATTACGCTTTCTTCAAAGGATGGCTGTTTCCAAGCCCACCTCCTGGTTGTAATTGCTTGATCACGTCCTTTCCCACTAAGTGATTGCTTTAGGACCTTAGCGTACGATCTGGGCTGTTTCCCTTTTGACTTTGGATCTTAGCACCCAAAGTCTGTCTTGATCCTCTTTTTTTGCATCCGATTTGAAATTTCAATTACTAGCAGAAAACGTGTCACACTGTTGAGCTAGATCAACTCAACAGTGTATGTGGGACTTGGCCCCAGTTCAATACCTGATCCATGGTCCTTGGACCAAATGAAAAATTAGAAAAAGAAGAAAAAAGAGCTAGGCTTTGTTGACCCCTAATCCATGAAAAGCCATTTTTCTTTTTCTTCAAGTCCTGCCCCCGCCCCAAAAAAAAACGAAAAAGGAAAAAAAAAAAAGGAAAACCCTTACCTGTCCCCATGGCAGACCCCCGTCCCGTTCAGTGTGCAGCCCGAACAAATCATCAGCTCCGACCTGAAGACTTCTGGAAATCTTTCCTTGCAAAAGTCCGGCAAATGATTTGACGTCAACGATAACAGGAAGGGTGGTGGAGTCACTGCACCGACTGATGTATTTCCCCAGCCACTGATCGTTAGATCAGCATCCTCGGGCAGCTCACGAGGTCCCCAGTGATTAGGAGACAAGCGGATGGACTGCACCTTGTCGCTCATCTGAATGGGAGATCCAAATTTCACGATGGCAAAGTCGTTGCTCATGACTGGGTTGTTGAACTTCTCGTAAACCCATAACTCGCTCGCATTCACACGATAGCCGTATTCCAGTGAGGGCATTTGGGTGCTGCCATAAATTATCGTAACTGTCGTGTTGGGGTCATTCACATATGCATGACCCCTAACGTCTTCGTAAGCCGATTGCCGGAAGCAATGCGCTGAAAGAAAGCCAACAAGTGCACACGTGCACACACACGCACACACAAAAGAAAAGCACTCAAAGCCATGTAAACGACCAGTGCGGCACACACACACACACAAAAAAAAAGGGATCACACAATGCCATGCACATACACACACACACAACAGAAAAAAACAAAACGGAGCACATTGTGTGTGTGTGTGTGTGTGTGTGTGTGTGTGTGTGTGTACATACACACACACACACACACACACAAAAAAAAAAAAAAAAAAAAAAAAAAAAAAAAGGATGCATGCAAAGACACACATACACAGGTGTGACAGATTAGTTTCTCAGACATACACATGTAAAGACACACACCCGGCACCAAATTTTTTATCGGGAGGGGATGTATGTTTGGAGTTCTTGCGACAGTGTTTTCATGAGGAGGCTCAGAGAGTGTTTCTGTGGGTGTCATTGCCACGGGCTGCTTTTTCGGAGCACATGGAAGAAATGGGGGCTTCTAGCCTAAGGGTGTTTTAACCAGTAGCACTCCTGGTGCCACGTGAAGATCTTGTGGAGTCTGGGATCATGGCGCTCTATACACTCCAGGACTAGACAGCAAAGTGAGATGGAGGATGTCTAGCCATGGAGTGATAGAGATGGTGGTGACGTGTGTTAGTCGTTTGGGATGAATAGCAGTGCCAATGCTGTCGTGTTTTGTGTAATTAATTTTGTATAGTTTTGCGGTTGACTAGGAGGGCTTGCCAAGTTTTTTTGGACCTTTGGGAGGTTGGGTCGGTGCTTCTTCCTGGTGAAGTCTTCTGTTTTTGTGGGCCAATGTGGAGGGCTCTCCAAGGGGGTTGGTGCTATCTTGCTGGTGGAGTTTTCTGTCTTAGGTAAGTTGCCTTTGCCCTCTGTCCCTTTATATATCGTCAAATATATATATATCGTCAAATAGAACTGCCCGGTAAACCGTAGGCAGAGAGGGAGAAGAGGACAACAAACGAGGGGCTGTGAC